TAAAAAGTTCAGGAAACAACAGGTGCTTGGAGAGGATGTGAGAATAACAACTTGTTTGAACACTTTGGTGGGATTGTAAACTAGTTCAACCATATGAAACAGTATGGGGGGGGGGGGGCGAAGAATTTCTTTCCTCAGGATCCTAGAAAGAAGATTCATTAATAAACCCGCATCCCATTACTAGGGTACTCCGGTTCTCATGCTGGGCATTGACACATGCACACGTATCTTTATTGTGCACTATTCACAAAGCAAGACTGGTCAAACCCACCAATGTCACATACAGTGGGGACAGGACTGGATAAGAAAATGTGGCACATATACACATTGGGGAATACTCACGCAGAAACCCGTAAGGGTGGTGTGTTCTTTTTTTTGTGGTGGATGTAGCTGGAAACCATCGTTTTCAGCAAAACTATTGCCAAGGACAAGAAAATCAAACACGCCATTTCCTCCACATCATAGGTGGGAACTGAACAAGAGATCACTTGATCCGGAAAGGGAAACCACCACGGGGCCTATATAATGGGGAGGGGGTAGGGGAGGGATTGCATTGGGGAGTTAAACCTGATGTATGCAAGTGATGGTGCCGGTTAAAATAATATAAAATTTTTAATGATAGTAGTACTATAAAATTTACGATATTTTAAAGCAAATTACAAATATGTGATAAGTCAAAGAGGTTTCCTAGAAAATTACATTATATCTATGAAGGATGTTATATTATAGAAATTTTTAAATGATGGATTAGGGAAGATTTTTAAAGGATTTTTGAGGGTATTTTTTAGAGTAATAGGCCTTTTAATAATACAAAAGGGACAGATCTAGAAAAATGCATATAGGACAAACAAGATTATTGAATGATTTTAGTTTCTTCATAGATTTGTTAAAGATCATTGATAACACTCAGTTAGGAATCCTTAGCAAAGAATTTGAAAAGAAAAGTAGTTATTTTAATATCTTTATTTTTAATACTAATACTTTCCATTTGAAAATTGTGATAATTACCGTACTTTGTAGATTGTATTTGCTTTTCTTATCTTGCATACTCCAATCAGATTCTTTCTTGTTGAGCTTTAGAAGACAAGAAATTATTTCACAAATACGGTTTTCATTTAACTCTTAAAAATAAGTTTCAGTTTTATACTTTCTTAATTTTAACATTGAATTGATTTGTGATATACATAGATTAATTATTTTAAAAAACCACAGCTTGGAAAGAACAATGTATTTAAAGTTGGAATAAATAAAATGGATCTTGTTCAATATATACATTTTTGTAAACTAATATGTGCTTTTAGAAAATACCATTTTTTAAAACATAATACACATAATTCAGTTTGTACCTTATAGTGAAATATTTCAACCCTTCAAACCCATTTTTATAAAATTGCAATATTACATCTGAGGAACTAGGATACATACATTTTTTATATATAATCACAAAATCTATAATTAATGCTGAAATACAGTCTATAGTAAATATCCTTATCTTTTGACTTTATTATACATAAGCTAAATTTTCATTTAAAAACTAAATGAAATTGCATGGTAATTATATTTCTTGTAAGAAATGAGAGGTATTATTTAGCTCTTGATTATGTGGCATTTATGAAATTTTTAAAAATAAAAATCCCATAGCCTCCCAGTTTTAAATGTTCTATAAAGAAATAGCAACTGGCATTTTAATGATTTAGTTAGTTTACAATACTGTTAACGTTCAGAATGTTCCTAAAATGTGAATGTAATGCTAGGATTTGTGGGATAATTGGAAAATATTTTATTTACTATTTTAGTTTTGCTCTTGGGTTTAAAATTGTTAAAATAATATAAAATTTTTAATGATAGTAGTCTTTTTTTTAAAGGAAGATATTTTAACTGAGTTACAGTGAATTTTACTTATACTAAGATACTAGAGAGACAGTCACCTTTCAATTAACTTTTACTCGTTACTACTATTCTCCACTTAAATCATATAACTTATTGGAATCATGCCTTCTTGTTCAAATTTGTGGTGATTATCTTATTTTCTAAATTCGTCTTAATATTTGGCTCAACACATCTGTAATCCAGAAATAATGTCATTTTATTCTAGATATATAGTTGAAAAATAAAAATGGAAATCATGTAAGATCTTTACCAAAGTTAAAGAATCTCCACGTTTACACTGAAGATTTTTCAGTGATTATGAAAAAACTTTTACTGAAGCACAATAACTTGTATAAACAGTTATTTCAGAATATGCACTAAGGCACATGTCACTGGGAAATAATGAAAAGTACTACAAAAATGTGTGTGATATTATGTAATTATCTGGCTTTTTGCTAAGAGTAAGTAATTGTAAGCTATTGGCATTTTGGTTTTGTTGCTGGAATCTGAGAGCAAGCGGTGAGGATAGCGTAGCAACTACATCTTTGATGGAGAGTCAAGGGAATCTACTCATTATTTTGAATAATAATGTTAATTTGGAGATTATTTTTTACTTTCACAGATTAAATAAGGTCCGTTTTAACTTCATTGGGAATAAATATAATATAGTAATGATTTGAGGGAGGTAAATGAAATAATTTAGAACCATTTTTAGATTCATTTTAGTTATGTTACCACTGTCTTTTTATGATTTAGTTTTACATTTTGCAAATAAAGATTTAAGTGCAGCCATAACATAAGCTAAGTAATCCTATTAATGTTTAGAGAAATGAAGTTTTGTCCTAGCAAGATTCAGTCCCTAGATCTGTGTCAGACTGCTCCTGGCCAGTAGCTATTGGGAGGGGATATAATTATCAGTATCTAAGTAACCATCTACCCTGAAAATTACATGGCACTAAAAGATTGCAAAGCTGTGGGCTAATCAGTGTCAACATAGTTTTAAGCAAAGTTAATATTATTTTATGAGAATAGTTAAGCTAACACCATTTAAGTCTGTTTTTATTGCAAATTGAGATTGTTTTGAGTTGCTTTAAGCTTTAATTATAGAGCAGAACTAAATTTGCAGTCCATTTGACTTACTCAATACTCAAAGCAAAGTAATGAATTTCTGAATCACATTTCTCAAGCTCTCCAATGAACTATCCTGTAATGGTAACAGTAGTCACAATTTATTATCTCTGAAGTCAACATTATTAAAGCAGGGGTGTATCGTTGCTTAGTTTGCATAACTAAGGGTTGTTAGGGATTTGAGATTGGTTATCTACTGAATTGAAACAAAGTGAAACATTTTATAATTTAGTGCTAAAAGTATGATTAAAACACTTAGCCACAAATTCCAAATTTTATTATCTCTTGTGCTATTGGTCTGCACTTGAACACAATAAAAGTTACAGATTGATTTCTTTTTTTAAAGTATGTGTTGGCGTTTTATAATCAAGGATGGTAGGCCACATTTAGTCATTGCAATGGAAAAAATTGTCAGCAAATGCCTTTATGAACTCCTTGTAAGAGATAAAATCAGCAGCCAAGTCAATCAGACATGTCAACATTTCCATTAACTCATAAACCATTAGTCTCTTGGCAAAAGCTCCCAGTACATCAGTCACCAATAAACAATTTTCCATACACATACATGTGCGTGCACTCACACACACACAGCCCTACAACTTAAAAATCTGAACACTTGTTGCAGAAGTTGAGTTGTCTGGGAAGTTGGCAAATGTTGTATAAAGTAAACATAGGTCTTATACAACATAAGTATAAGCTTTTGAATCGTTTACCCTACACATGACTGTACCTTAGCTGTTTCTTTCTCTTTCATTTGTAAAAATGCAAAATTTAAAGGCAGGGTTTTGAAGTGATGTTGCTGATGGTAGATTCTAACTTAGAACAATTCATACTTTATCAAAGGCTGCAATTCTTACCCTCCTGTGCTACTTAGGAGGTTGATAAAAGCTTAAAAGCATTCTTTATGTATTATAAATTAAAGGGCTAAAAGTCATGTATTCGTTTTCAAACTTACAAATTTCATGTATGTGGTCCAGTTATAGCCGTAAGAAATAGCGAGCTAATCTTTTAGTAAGTCCGTTTTAAGGACTGACAAAGTCATGAGAAGCCACTGACAGAAATTAACGATTTATAAGAATGCCTCATTAAAGTAGATACTTATTAATTAAAGCAATTTTTAGGTGACTACTATTAGCCGAGGGTGTTAAGTGGGTGTGTGCATGCATGTAAGCATGTGCATATATGTGTGATGTTTTAAGTATGCATACTTGTTTTCTCTATATATGTACATGCAACAAACAGTTGTTTAAATTGAAAACATATTTTTACAATTAAATTTGGTTTCACATAATCATTTATGAAGGAAATTGAAAATATGTCATATAAAATCAAGAAATAAAGTGTATTTTGTTACTAACATTTACATTCCCCATTCTGTGTAATTTGAATCATGTTCATCTTTAGATTAACAGTTGCTAGTACTGTGTATTCTGCATTTTGTTTAATTTATTAATCATGTGTTATTTCTAAATTTTATTTAATTGAAGTCATTTCAAAAGCATTGAAATCTTAAACCATTCAGTTCCTGAAAGGTTCTTCATGTGTTTTAATAGGCTTCCATTATGTGTTTTTGCAGCAAGCTTAGTAGTGGAGGAGCGAACAAGACAGATGAAAATGAAAGTGCATCGATTTAAGCAGACAACAGGGTCTGGTTCTAGTCAAGAACTTGATCGCGAGCAGTATTCCAAGGTAAAATTAGTAGTATCCAACAAATAGTTTCCCTTTTAAAAATGTATAGTGTCTATACCAGGCAGGATTAGAAAGCACCGAATTATATAAGAAAAGGTATCATTTGGGCCGGGCGCAGTAGTTCACGCCTATAATCCCAGCACTTTGGAAGGCCAAGGTGGGCACATCACCTAAAGTCAGAAGTTCAAGACCAGCCTGGCCAACATGGTTAAACCCGGTCTCTACTGAAAAATACAAAAATTAGCCAGGCGTGGTGGTGTGCGCCTGTAATCCCAGCTACTTGGGAGGCTGAAGCAGGAGAATCCCTTGAACCTGGAAGGCAGAAGTCGCAGTGAGCTGAGATCACACCACTGCACACCAGCCTGGGTGACAGAGCGAGACTCCATCTAAAAAATAAATAAATAAATAAATAAGAAAAGGTATCATTAAATAATAGTCCTGCATCATAATTTCTACCAAAGCCGGAAAAAAAACCCTCTTTCCTCTTGATATTTTCATATGCTATAACTTCATTGAAATATTAACTTGGATTTGATTTTTTTCTAAAAATATATAAATATTTGATATTAAAATCACTTGATGATTGATTAGCATTAGTCAAATTCACATAAATAAGCAAGATATATGAAGCCATTTTGTTGCTTGAACATCATTTAAATATTGCATTTAAGATATTAAGGTATATATTTATAGTCTTAAATACAACTTTGGATTGATATTTGACTATTGATATTTGTGAATGATAAAAATTATGTAATAGATTTCTTATTGCTCTGTCTTTAGTAAGAAAAGTAACTGATTTCAAACTTCTAGAAACTGAAATTTACATAGTTTTAAGTGCCAATAAGCATTTAATTTTTATTTCAATAATATTTTCTAAGGAAACACTAAGGAGTTTATAAACTGCTAACATCTGATAATTTTAAATAAAATAGCATAGATTTTTGTTCTTTATAATTTCAAATATATTATCTGGTTTATTTAAAAGCCTTTTTTCTTTATAGAATACTACAAAAGTAGCAGCAGCCATTATAGGTCGACCTTTGTTGTAATTTAATATCACCAAACTCTTTTGGAAGTAATAAGCTATTAGAAATCAAAAGTAAATAAAGCTCTACACTAAATTAATATTATTAGCTTGAAATATGGACCTAGAAAAACCTACTTATTTTTAAGCAGTGGAAGTGGTTCATTATCTTTCCATATATTCTGTGACTAAAAAAAAAAAGAAGTAGCTACAAAATATGATTTATCACCAGGACTGCCATAGAGGCATGTGTGTTTGATACAGTCTATCACTTTATGTGTTAGGTTAGGTGCAGAAGGGCTTCCAAATGATACAGTGCGGAGGGTCACTGTGATTGGTGATGCCCAACTCCCTAAGAGTCTTACCAAAAAAATAGTAAGCAAAGTAACTTGATGTCCCATAGTATTGGCTATTTCAGCTCTGTACAGATTTATCTTCTCTGCAACTTGTTATTTATGGTATTATCACCTAATCAGCCTATTTATCTGTCTTCATAGATATCATCATTGTTTTTGTTTTCTTACTACAAATGCAGTTTGAATTAGACGGCAGGGTAATTTGGGGTTTTATTTCCCTCTACAGTTGGATGCAGTTATTTGAAAGTTTCTTTAAAGTGGAAATGCTCCTTTTAAGCTGACAGTTTTTATCAGTTTCTTAGCTTTATTTCAAAAGATGAGGTCAAGTAGAACAGCAAGGAGAGGTAGAGCCAGTATAGGAAACAAGAAAGAGGCAAGTAAAGAATCAGGGTAAGATACTGAAAGCCTTTCTGGATCATCCTGAGCTGGGACTCTAATCATTAATTAGTCGATCCAAAAAATCAATGAAATGAAGTACTCCGAAGTCTAAACCCCCACTAATAGTCATAGTAAACCAAAAGTAGGTGTATCTTGTTTGGCAGACTCCAAATTCTCTGACTCATAACATTAAAAACTTGAAAATACCTCAAAATCTACTCCAGCTCACTTATTTACCAAATTTATGAAAACTGGGGCTCAGAAGCAAAGAGGTAATTTATTAAAATTTGTATTAAAATTAGTAGAGCCTGTCTGTGTAGTGAAGAGGCCTAGAACAATGGATTTGGGACTTAGGGAATGACTTTGTTCTACTTATATCATTGAAATGAACACATTACTCTAGGTTCCCATGTGGCTTTCAATTTACATAAAAATTAAATTAGCATATTCTGTCTTTCCTCCCTCCTTTGCACAGGCACCCTTTTTCCTTTCCTCTCTCTTATTGTATTTGAATATTTTAAAACCTATTACTTTCAGATATAGTACTATGACTCTTACTGAATAGATACTACTATGTTAAATAAAATTATAATAGCTAAATATGAGATCAAAGTTATGGTAGCTTTAAAAACTTGTAAGAATATAGGATAGGAAATTATATAAGATAAAATAAATGATTAACCTTTTCTTATATGTCAAGTAGAAGATAAAATACTCTCCACATCTCTAATATTTATATTATATACTAACACAATAGAATTTTTTGTTTTCAGTAGCCATTTTTGTTAATTCAAACCTTTTGCATATACTTGAGAAATTATCTTTTTCATTTTTATTATTTTACATCACATATTTTATAACTATTTTACAAAGATCTATTTTATGGCTATAATTAAGAGCCAGTATTGGCACAAATTTTATATTGATTAAATTTTGAACTTTAGTCTTTTACTGACTCTTTTTTAGTATCTTAATCCATTTGACATTTTGGATGAAGCTACAAACCTTAGTTGAAATTTATACCAAGCAGAAGTTAGTTAACCATTCTCAGAATACTTTTAATCAACCACTAGTAGAGCTGGACTTTTTTCAGGGCAAAACATTGTCAGACAGCTATAATTCCTGAGATGCTTCTTGAAACCTAGTACCTCTTTTAGAAGATTAAATGACCCTAACATCCATCCTGAGTAAGGAATTAGCACTAACTTTGCTTTTGAAAAAGCACAACGATGCTGCTTAGGTATCCTTGAAATGTGTCACCATTCTATTTTTTTATTGGTGTTATACAGAGTTGCATGCCTTAATGATGAAGTGAAATTCATAATAAGGAAGTGAAATCACATTTAGGCACTCACAATTTAAAGAATGTTTATGTTTCTGTAACCCAGGAACAGCAACCAAGAGTGATGTGATGGGTTTTGTAGGTAGCTGAAGAGTGTTTATTATTACTTACTTCTAAGAATAGTAGTATTTTATTATTTCTCTCACATCAATGACTTATTTTCCCTCTGTAGGATCGGTATAAATTCCTCCTGAGGAATTATGTTCTTCAAAATATATTTTATGTATTTGTATTAAAATATTAAATTGTTACATTTGAAATTTAACAGATCATGCCTGATGAAATTCAAAGTGATTAAAATGTTAACATATTAAATAGTTAAAAGTGAATATAAAAGTATTTCACTTTCTTCAAATAATCAATGTGATTAAAACTGTGATATCATATCAGAATGATAGATTGTTCTTTATCTCAATGTAGAACAATTTATTATGGCATAATTTTTGAAATCCCTTTTTGTCCACTTTCTGGAATAACCAAGGTCTGTATACAAAAAGGGTGAAGAAAAGGTGGCTTAAGTAAAGCCATCTTTTGGCTTATTTCCAACTAAAAATACTTTAGTTGGAAAAATATTTTCATATACATTCACATACCTATATGCTTTAGTGTACACTGCTTAATATTGTCAAATATCAAATAAGGGGAGCATTTGCTCTGGGTGTCAGCACAATACTGACACCTAGAACAGAGAATATTTTATATTCTGTCATGGGCAAGGTATCATTCCAATACATTTGGAAACTATAATTACATAGCATCTCTCTTTTAGCACAGTGTTTCAGAAAACCAACAATATAGGAGTTGTGTTTGTAATGCAGCAACAGTGTTAAATTCAGGTTTTACTCTGTAAACATAATTGAATTTTTAGCACATATACCTGTAAACTGAAAACAGATCTGATTAAAATGAATTGTGTCAGTCAGAATCATGTTATTAAATATAACTGAATTTTCTGGTAAACCATATTGTCACATTGCTTTCAATACATTATCTTAAATCACATTAATTTTAGATCAAACATGAAATCATATAAATATAGCTCAGTTTAGATACAATAACATATATGAATTTCCTTTAAATTCTAATTTGGCATATGACCTTGAGAGATAAATCACACAGTTATGAAAAATCCTTGGGAAAAATAATTGTATATATATCCTATATATTGGGAATTATTTTTATGTCTGATATGAAATTATTTTACGAACACATACACATGAGAGGCAAAGAAATGAAACTCACATTCAGGAAGGCCAAGGCGAGTGGATTGCCTGAGCTCAGGAGTTTAAGATCAGCCTGGGTAACACGGTAAAACACCATCTCTACTAAAATACAAAAAACTAGCCAGGTGTGGCAGCCTGTGCCTGTAGTCCCAGCTACTTGGGAGGCTGAGGCAGGAGAATTGCTTGAATCTGGGAGGCAGAGGTTGGAGTGAGCCAAGATCACGTCACTGCACTCCACCCTGAGCAACAGGGGAGAATGTGTCTCCAAAAACAAAAACAAAACTCACATTTAAATGTTTCAATCCTAAACTACTCTCATATAAGAAATTATTGAATAAACATGAGACCTTTCTCTAGGATAATTTTTTAAGTGTTATTGTCTAATCTTCTTTTTAGTACATATAGACCCAGGTTGTAGCATCAGTTAATTTAGTATGTTTTGGCAAGATAGTTCAAATTCATTAAAATTCCTCTGACATGGAACATCACAAAGGATAGATGACTTTTTCTACAGATTTAATAAACATTTGATATTTTCATACTTTATGTCTCATAAATCTAAAATTAATTGCTTGCGAAAAAACAAACACCCATATGTTATTTTGTTTTACAAAAGAAGTTATAGTATCTTACCTTCCAGTATCTAAGAGAACTACTTACATTTTAGGTATCTTTCAGTTATTTATAGTTATGTAACCTATTTATTACAATTATAACATGTATATAAATAATATGTAATACATAAGCTATTCACTGTGTGATTCATCACAATAAGACAGTGAAGTAGAAATAAGAGTAGATAATTGCTTTGACAGCTTTGCGTATTTTAATCTTTTACTTGATTCCTAAAATTTTAGGCAATGAATATCAGAGACAAATTTAAAGACATCTTTGAATATAAGATATAACGTACAATGAAATTTTAATAGGGATCCAGTATTCTAATTTTGATACTAAGTTAGGTTAAATCTGAAACCGTCTAATGAAGCCATAGTAGAAAGGTAAAGACCAGTCACTACCTCTTTACTCAGTCTGTATCAGCCCTTGTTTTTGGAAAGTTATATATTTTTAAGAAATGTTAGACACTATAATGTCTTGCCAAGTATTTAACTAAATTGACTAGTTTCAGAAAGTATCAGAAAGTATGTACAGATGGAACCAGTCTATACAGGTCAAGTATCCCTTACTCAAAATTCGTGGGACCAGAGGTGTTTGATATTTTGGATTTTTTTTTCATATTTTGGTATATTTGTACCATATACATTGTATATTTTCCAGTTGAGCATCCTAATCTGAAAATCCAAAATGTTCCAGTGAACATTTCTTTTGTGCATCATGTCGGTGCTCAAAAAGATTTTGGAGCACTTCAGATTTTGAATTTTTTGATTAGGAATGCTCAGCCTGTGCTTTGACTAGAGTAGAAGGTGAATAAAATGGACAAGAATGAAAATGAAAACAAAAAAGAGAAGCATATGTACTAGAAAACAATGAATAATACACTTTTGAGGTTCTAAGTATATACAAATAATTTAATGAATTTTCTAATCAAGCATTTAATGATTGTGTTTAATTTATATTTCAGTCTTCCTAAGCCATCTCTTACCACTCAAAGGATAATGTTTTTATATTGGAAATCATATGTTAGCATTTGGATTATTTTAGATTCTACACCTACTTTTATGAAGGTACACCTTTATTTGGTGTGGGCTAAGTAGTCATTCATCTCACCATCTATGTCTTTTCCATGGTCTAATGATGGAGCTCACACTTTCTTGTTTTTAATCTTTAGTATAACATACATAAAGATCAGTACAGAAGCTGTGATAACGTCTCTGCCAAATCATCAGATAGTGATGTCAGTGATGTGTCCGCCATTTCCCGAACCAGCAGTGCCTCACGCCTCAGCAGCACAAGCTTTATGTCAGAGCAATCTGAGCGCCCCAGGGGTAGAATCAGGTGAGTTGGCAATACTGTTTATATAAGCTGGATCTTTATCTGTGGTTTAAAAATACAAGTAGCTTCCTGAATATTTTTTCTGTAATACAGTTTAGGTCACAGTGGGTTAAGTATTGATCGACTACTATGTAGTATTGCCAACAGAATGTTTAGGGTGGACTACTATCAGATACAGCTTATAACCCTAGTCATAAGTTTAGAGATCACTCTGAGTCACATTTGTAGTAGTTTCCTCTAATATTAAATTCTCTTCCTTTAGTCCAACATCAGAAAGTGTATTCTGTAAAGGGACAGATAGTAAATATTTCAGGCTTTGCAGGACAGTCTTTGTTGCAATTACTCAACAATGTCATTATAGTGTAACAGCTATACAAATAAATCAACATGGGTGTGTGTGTGTGTGTATGGGTGTATGTGGGGTTGTAGTGGATGTGGTAACAAAATATACATCCCTAGTTATGTTACATGAATTGTAAGGCATTTGCATCAATTTTATTTGAGTCACCAGTAGTGCTTTTGTGTTCTTCAAAGACAAATACCCTGCCGAAAGGAAAAAGACCCCAGACATCCAAGTACTATCTAAACTAAAGCAGATTGATTATGGACAAAGCATATTTTGTATTAGTTCTTTACTAGTTTTCAGAAGTCAAAGTTTCATACAGTTATAGTTGTGAAACCTAAATATTTATTACAATTGGAGGAATTGTGGGGTTGATGAGAGGTCCAATAAATATAAGTGTTAAAAATAGGAACAAACACTTTTCCAGTACTCTGAAAGTCTGATGTTAGTGCACATTTTGGTGATGTACAATGAATTGTATTTTGAAGATTCTCTCTTGTTTGTTGAAGCAAATTAAAAGTAATCAGCCTGCTGTTATTTAACAATTTCATACTCTGATAATCTAACATGAGCAATTTCAACTGATAAAGATATTAGTAGAAAATGTTTTATCTTTACTTTTGGTGTTCTCAACATTTGATTCTGAAAGAATGTACAGTTCTTTAAAGTTTAAGGAAGAATTATAAGAGCTCAAGAACGTAGCCATATTAAGCTGTTTAAGATCAAGGGGTAAGAAGTATTCTTATAGATTCCTTTTTATTAAATTCTTAATAAGATAGAATGTTTTAAAAACTATTGAATACCAAAGAATGTAATAAATAGGACCTAACCAAGGACTTTGTTTTTACCTTTAAAAAAAGTAATTTTTTACCTTTTTAAGTAATTTTTGTTTATATTCACTGTAGAGCCAAGTACCTTGAGCCCTATGCTTTAAAGTATTACTAGTGAATAGAATTTGTATTACTAAGCAATTGCATAGAATAACTTGTGAGTTCATTTTCACTCTCCTAAAATTTCAGAAGTAGAATTCTTCAGAAATTTATCTTCCTATAAAATTTGGCTATGCAGTTTCTTTTAGAAAGAATAGGGAAACAATGTCAAGAGACTGATTTTATACAAGGAGAATGGGGGAATCTACATGTTAGTAGTGTATTGGAACCGGTGTTACTTTGTGGGGAACATGGCAACTCAACAAATCAGCATGGACTGTAACTATATCATGACAAGAAGCAAAAGATAGAGGATTTTTTTCCTTCATTGCTTCATATGAATTTTCATATTTAGTGAAGATGGTGGGAAGAGGGGTGGAACTGGAAGGAGTACAAAGAAACTTCTTAGTGATAAATCTATTTTCTCTAAGGACTTTTTTGTTTTCAGCTTCCTTTCCCTTCTTTGTAGTTTAAAACCCATATAAACTGAGAGTTTATTTTATGTAAGTGGATTATGTGAATTTAAGCACTACAGCTAATAGTTAAACAAATTTAACCTTAAGCTAACATGAAGAGCTACTTCTCTTGTAATCTCATGCTGTATGTCAGTGATTTGTCATATGTGGTACATATTTGATCTTAGAATAATTAGGAAGAATAGAGAGAAAAAAATAAGATGTGACACGTCTTCTGACATTCATAGACAAATTATCCCTTCATATGCTTTCTTCTGTCTACATATTCTCATAGACACACATGCAGCAGTATACACACAAACACACACACACACACGAAGTTATTTTGCTTCCGTCGTCAATCCCGTCGTAAAAACCTGAGAGAGGATAGTTTGGAATGATAAAGAATAAAATGACATCAACATAAAAGCATCAAAATCCTGTGAACAAGCCTTGCAGGCTCTTCAGATATAAATGTTCCCTGCCCTTATAGGTAACACTATGAGGAATATTTTTTCTTAATATATTACTGTTTCTTATTTATTTTTTAGCAACTAACATCTGCATAATTTTTATAGTTCTGTTTACTCAGGTTCATGGTTAAAAGATGAACAAAGCTAATGAATTATGATAGAATATATTTACATATAAGTTGTAATAATAAGCAGCAAAGTTTTTAGTTCCTATCATGTATAAGGACTTTATTATCTTTTTTAAAAGACAAACAAACAAAAAAACATTGTAAATTCCTGTTATCTTCCCCCCACCAAGACCATGTAGGGTCCAGTCTACTCCCTAACCTTTTTCCCAGAAAAGGTGCTACCTTCTTCCCAGACAGATGACAGAGGGCAGGACTTCAGGCTGGATCTACCCTTAGGCTCTCCCTCCCCCAGCCGGGAGGGGAGGTGACACCTGGTGATGGATGGGTGGTGGACTGAGAAGAGGAGACATGAAAGGGCTATTCCAGACTCAGCCCTGCTCCTCCAGCCTTGCCTCTGGCATAGGGGAAACAGAGGCATGACTGACCAGGATCAGGGTCATGCCCAGCTGGGCCACAGCCACGCGTGGGGTAGTCCAGTAAATACTGTGGACACTTAGCAAGGCTGCTGCCTGGTGGTTTGAGTCTGCTGTGGTCACAGACACCCTCCTGGCATTGGCTCCCTATCAACAAGCTGGGGGTGGGAGGTGGAGAGAGGAGGAGCCCCTGCCTTAGGAGCCTTGTGGGCTACACCAAGAGAGCAACCAGCCTGGGGCAGGAGCTGCCAGGTCCCAAGGGTGACTGACCCAAACGTCACAGATGCTTTTGTTGGGTGGCACCTCCTGGAAGAGGACATCTAGATCCCAGAGCAGTCCTGGGGGCCCTCAGGTTTCAGAGGCCACCCCCCCAGTAGGCAGGGCCAGTTGATAGTGGACACTGGGGGCAGTAGGTGGGTGATGGTGCCAAGGGCATTACCACATTGGGAGTGTAGATAGGCAAGTAGGAGGTGAGCAGCTGCCCCTAGAGGGAGACTCTGTGTCCCCCAATGGACAGCCACCCAGGAACTGAGGTGTCCTGCAGTAAGTGGAGAGACCAGGCCGTAGGCTCTGTGGAGAAGGTCGAGGGCCCCATGGCTCCCTGCTGGGAAGCCTCCCCCTCCATTCTTATGGGGCTGGGAAGGGGGCAAAGGGGCCACAGAGGCCTCTCAGAAGAGGGCAGGGGTGGGGTGGGCACCACCTCCTCCCCACTGCTCCCTGTGCCTGAAGGAGCTGGGCTGCTCTATGGGACCAGGGTGCCTCCTCCTCAGAGTCCCCTAGCAGGGACTTGATGCTGAAGCCCTCACTGGGTGGCAGCAGGGGACTGGGCGCACCTTGCAGCAAGTAGGGCCCCAGGTCCTTGGTGAAGGCTCCGCGTGCACCCCATTTCTGCCAGCACCTACACAGGGCTGTGTTCTGCCACCATAGCGACTCTGCTGGGATCAGGCTTATGTCAACCGCCCAGAAGTTCCCCTTGGCCTTGGGGCTTTGCAGGGTCCACAACTATACATTTAGTAAAATTTGGCATTTGATGTCAGTAGGCATAATAATCAGTAAGCATATACTGAAAGGAATATTCTTCTATTTATTTGAGGATTTTAAAACAATGTAGGTTAAATTATTTGATATTTTAAGTTGTGATAGCAAATGTAGAAGTTAATATCTTCTGGAATATCAATCTTGATATTACAGTTATGTTTGAAAAGTGTTATGGAAAATAATTTCAAATGCCTCCTATTTCACAATATTTCTTCAATTCAGTAAGAGAAGACAGGATAAAATTCAAAAGTAATCCTTGGATTTTTGTGATAGCATATGAAAAGTACTTAACTACAAAATTGCTTGCTATTTTAATAGCTAAAATCAATGAAACTTTTATTTTATATGCTCACTAATTATTATGCCTACTAACATCAGATGTAATCAAGAGTGAACAAAAGGGATTATTATTATTATTTTATTTCTTTTATTTTAGCTATCCACACTTAGTTTTGCCTGCCTGTCTGTTGTCCTATGGAAAAACAAAGTTTATTGAGATCTACGAAAATACTAAAAAAGAGAAGAAAATATTTTAGAAATTAGATGACAAGGAAAGATGAATCTGAACACAGTGAAAAATACTAAATATATGAGAAAAAATTTATTTTAGTTTTTTTTCTAGTGTTTCGTTTCATAACATTTTGATAGTTCAAGGTTGATGAACCATTCCCACTACTCTTTCCTGTAAATAGATTAAAGCTGGACAGAGGCCGGGCGCGGTGGCTCAAGCCTGTAATCCCAGCACTTTGGGAGGCCGAGACGGGCGGATCACGAGGTCAGGAGATCGAGACCATCCTGGCTGACACGGTGAAACCCCGTCTCTACTAAAAAAATACAAAAAACTAGCCGGGCGAGGTGGCGGGCGCCTGTAGTCCCAGCTACTCGGGAGGCTGAGGCAGGAGAATGGCATGAACCCGGGAGGCGGAGCTTGCAGTGAGCTGAGATCCGGCCACTGCACTCCAGCCTGGGCGACAGAGCGAGACTCCGTCTCAAAAAAAAAAAAAAAAAAAAAGCTGGACAGAAAGAATGTGACATGTACCCTTTAAAAAGACTCTAGATGTATGGCAAATATATTAATAAATTACTATATTATACTTACTAACATATCATATGACTGAATCAATCACTGTGCCATATATATAAATTGGCATTGTTATATTCATAGTGGCATTGTTATATTCATACCATAATCAAAATACTGCTTGAACTGTGAATACATGTAAC